AGAGTTCCCACTGAATAGCTGTCATCTTGTCTAGATTGGTCTGGTGAAAAGAGATGGGGATAAGATTCATATGATTCAACAGTGAATAATTGGCATTTTGACTAATTGCGACTGTCATAATTGTAAAGGTAGAAGTTTTGTAACAAAAAAAGGGAAGTAGTTAATCTTACAGTCCAGAAACAGAGGACCCTAGGACCATCAAGGGAGAAGTGCACAAGCAGAATGTGGGACCTTATCCAGAGAAGCAGTGAGGCCAGAGACGGAGACAAAGATGGGGGCACGGAGGAGAGGAGTAGCTCTAGATTCACGGACTAAGAAGAGTTGGTAGCCAGGAGGCAGACTTGCAGAATGTGGCCTTTGGAGATATAAATTATTATGTATGCCTGAGTGTTTTATTTTATTGTTGTTGTTGTTTGCTTTTTTACAAAAAGCTAAAGTGAATAGAGAGAAATACTGTTAACTGATGGTACACGGAGGGGCTTATAATCATTGTAATGAAACAAGGTGTATGATTTGTTGAATGTAAAACTGATGGTCTGCCCTGTAAACATTCACTCAATCCACAATAAAAACCTTAAATAAAAAAAGAATTGGGGGTTATGAAGGCGTGATGTGTCTGACTTACAAGCTTTCATGAGTGTGCTTAGTTTCAGAATGAGGGGAGTACAGTGGAATCCCCACTGAATAGTTTTCCTCTTTTCCAGATAGTTCTGGTGAAAGGGGACCAGAGGGTGGGCAATGGGAGGGGAGGGTGGAGATAAAGATAAAATTTTATTATTCAATTGTGAATAATTGATAGCAGAATTCATCACAATTGCCCCAACTATAAATGTAGATGTGTCACTAAAAGGGGGAGTAGGTACTCTTTAATTTCTGAAACAGAGGACCCTAGGACCATCAAGAGGGAAGAGCATGAGAGGAGGGAGGGATCCTTACCAGAAAAGTGGTGACAACAGAGACAGTTACAGAGGCGAAGGCCTGGAGAAAGTGAACAGCTGAGGACACTAGACGCATGGGCTGAGAAGGCTGTGTGCCTGCAGGCAGGAGGCTGGCTTCTAAAATGTGCCTTTTTAAATGGATTTTTGTTTTGTATGTATACATCAAATATTGTTGCTTTGTTCATTTGTGAAATGTAAGCTGTAACAGGGGAGTCACAGGGTGGAAGCAGGATAACTGTTGTTGCAGGGAGGGGTCTGTAATCATTGAGATGAAACAGGTGTATGGTTGGTTGCAAATAAAGCTGATGATATTAAAAAAAAAAAAAAAAAGTCAGAATCTCTTAAGAGTTTTTAGACCTGAGGTGGTTCTCAGACTTGAAATCATTGGATGAAGAATCCAAACCCCGATAAAGAAAATTTATTGTTTTGCAGTGCTTGACAAATACATTTGGCAATGATTCCTCCAGTCTTTCCCCCAAAGGAACCTATGGCCATTTACTTAAGTAATTATACTTGAATACTGATATGATTTGACTAACAATACCACTACCCATGAGTGTCACTATCCATTAGCTCTGAATGGAAAAGGTCAATTTTGTTTTATTTATTTTTGTCATTCAATCAAAAACATATACAAAAACATTGTA